CCCACCGCCCGCCCTGTCCCTGGTTCCCGGGAACGGGCTGTGGGAGGCTTAAACTCTGGTCAGGCTGGTTCTTCCCGCGACAGTTGCCGCCGCCGGTCGGGTTTCCCGCCGCCGTGTCGCTGTGCCTTAATGCTGGCCCTGGCCGCAGAGAGAGGAGTGAGAAACCCTCCTCAGGCAACGGTTAAATGACTGGGCCTAAAGGAAAGATTCCCGCTCAAAGCCCTTAGCAGGTTTTAGTTAACACATTACTGTACAGTAGAAGTGTTAAGAGCTAGAGCTTGCCTGCACTCCCATAATTGTTTTCTTTATCGTTGGTTTATTACAAGTTTTATTAAACATTTTTCAAAATCAAACATAATTGTCAGATGTTCTTTGTGCTTGTGGCATGCAGTGCTCATAATTTTGCACTTTTTGTGAGTAAAATGCAAATTCAACAAGAGGAATGATTCTATGTTCACCTGAAAGAAGGGATGGGGTCCCAAATATGGCAAAGACTTGAGTGAGCCTGCCAAGTATTTGGTAGACACCAGGTGCTGGTGTTTATCTGATGATATGGGAGGGGAAAAACTCATGATAGCAAGCTGTGAAACAAAGTTGTGGGCCTTATCTTGAGTGAAAGTTATAGAAAAATCTGTGCAAGTGGTGTGCAAGGAAAAAGAATTTGAAAAACTCTTCATTGGATTCTCCTTTTACAGTTAAGTAGCTTTGAGGTCCTAGCTTTTAAGACTCAACAATTCAGAGAGCACAAAATAGTTACACATGTTTAAAAGAGTAGATGTTGAGCCTTCTGTGTTTTCCCGTCCCAGACTTTTCCATGAAATGTAGAGAACTAAACATTCTGGTCTTTGGACATGAAGGACAGAGTTTCTTGCTTTTTTTTTTTTATTCTTGTAACTCTGTAAGAGAAAAAAATGATAGCTGTGATAGGTTCACAGTAGTTCTCAATGCAGACACCTGGCACCAGAAATTTCAGTTTTTCCAGCACAAACCAAAATATTTTTCTGTGGCATTTTGGTGCATTAGAATCACCCAGAAGTTGTGTTTGGGGTTTTTATTTTCCTCTGCAGTACTCACAGTTGCTAACATGTTAGGAAGTTGCAATATTGTTACATGCTTATGATTTCAAGATGTGTAATTTCCCACTTTTTTTTGTCTCCCAGCAAGTATTCAGTCTATTAGAAAAAGCTTGGTCCGGTTCCCCTGTGCAGTTCACTTGGCAGAAAACTTTGGGGAATTTCCTTGCTGTAACAGGGTAAGATTACAAATATTTATTGCATTTGTCCGTAGAAATCACTAATGAAGAAAGAGAATTATTCTGTACGTTAATCTTTTTTTTAGAGGTGATCGTGCTGTGAAAATTTTTGATCGTCATGGTCAGAAGAGAAATGAAATCAGCTTACCGGGGTAGGTACTAAAATGGGTTTAAATTATTTTCTTTGTTGTTTTCCTTAAAAATGCGTCTCTTCTGGTGAGGTGCTTATACAATGTGAGAACTCTGTAGGAAGAGATGCTATCTCTGGTGTACATACCTGGAAAAGAAGACAGACTGATGAGCATGTGTGGAATCAGAGACAGTAAAAGGTGAACTCATAGTGAGCTATCAAGGATAGTCAGAAAAATGTTCTTCTGCCCACAGCACTCCTTATTAATAATAAACTCAATCTACTTAATTAGAATGTTAGAAAAAGACCTATCATATTAAGAAAGAACATAATGAGGTTGTTTACAGTGTACCTGTATGATGCTGATTGAGACTCCATTCTTGCTACTGTTTGTTTTCTAGTTATTTGTTATCATAACCTTACTGAGGACACTGCTTGTGTCACTGACATAATGTATGCACTGGCATTTTTACTTTAGATCGAGAGTGTACCTTGGAAGTGAATCTCAGTCTTTTTCCTGCTTATCACACTTCGGTTCACATCGGAGAGTGGTTTTGAAATGTACAAACTGGATTCCTTTTAGAAGAAATTTTAAAAGTGGTGTACTTTGGAAGATGCAGTCTAGCTGCTAAAAGGCAATCAGTCCATAGGAACAGGCTAGTTATGGTCCAGAGGGAACCATAACCATAATATATTTTTGGTCTATAAATCTGCTTTAATTGGACACCATCACTACCTGTTGTAGCAATAGTTTCATTTGTGTACTCATTTCTTTTTAATATTTTGCTTTGAATAATATGTTGTAAACAGCACTGTTTCCAATTCACTAGAGACTGGATAAGTCTGCTATGCTCTTCATTCTGGGAACTATTTGCAAGCAGATGTTTTTCCTGCTTCTACTTAAGTTTCTTGTCCAAGCTTGTTAATGCTTGTTGAGCTATGAGAAAAATAATCTGAACACTGAATAGCCTCTAACAAGATAAAACCTTACAGGGTTTCACTGTCTTCTGAAAATCAAGGTGGCAGTATTTCAAGTACTAGAATGTAGGTAGCAGTCTCTTTTTGTGACCTTCCTCTCAGCCTCTGTCATTTTGATGAGATTTAAGTAAGAGTGTGGTTGCTATTGAAACCACAGATCAATTTGTCATGGATTTGCTTGGGAGGGAAAAGGAAGGACAGGGACTTAAACTGGATAATTCTGACTGTTTCTGTACACTCGCAAATGTATTTTAACATTGTTAGTGAAAGTCTCCTTTTTTTGTTTCTTTAGTAACTGTGTTGCTATGGACTGGGATAAGGATGGAGATACTTTAGCAATAATCACAGACAAATCTAGTGCCATTTTTCTGTGGGATGCAAATACAAACAAAACAAGCCAAGTAGACAGTGGCATGAGGTAAGAAAGGTTTTTTAAGTGTGTATTTGAAGACTTGGACCATTCTGAGCTGCTGCTCTTGATGCTCTCTCTTCAATCATCTTAGAAGCTGATGCAAAAGTAGAATGATACAGTATGTTTTTAACTTATTTAAATCATAGGACATCATATTCATGCTTTGTAATCTTTGTTTTCTCTCTGTGTGTAGAGTATATGTTGTGTTTAACCTGTAAAATCCAATAGTCGTGCAACTGCTTGAGAAGCCTCATACTTCATCTGTTATTCCAGAAACAGGAATGAGTGCTGGCACGTGAACCACAGACCCATTCGTGTGGTGTAAGACCATTCATATCTTCTAGCTTTCAAGTCCAACTTGAGACTTCCAGTGTAATGAAGAT